CAAAGTGCGGAAAGGCCGCTAAAGTGAACCGCTGCTCTGGGCAGGACACAGAGTACCAGTGTGCCACAGAGCACTGGCAGTTCAGGAGCAGGAACGCGACAGGAACCGCGTCTCATTAAGCACAATAGAAACCAAACAGCACAGAAACATGGGTGAATGTGGGATGAACTCAACAAAAAGATTCTTTCAGCGGTGCTAAAATGCTGCAGATCTCGAAGGCAACATTATGGGCTTAAGAGATGAGCGTGCATCATACTCAGCACACATCCAAAGTGCTCCCAAGCAGACAGCACTGAATTGCAGCTGCTCCACACCCAAGCTGTGACCGCTCCAGACCAAGCAGCCTCCTGATGTACTAATAAGTCCCGCATCCTGTTTGCTCACAGTGCCAATTTGGCAGCTTTTAAAACAGATTCGCAAAACTAATTATTGTGCTGGAAGGCATGCAGCAGCAGTGCAGCATCACTATCCTCCACATCCAAACCACTACTTCCTGGAATCAACCTCAACTGCACCAGTGCAAACAGGATGACAGTCGTGGCCCAATGACATTCACCTGCCAGGACGGTCGACATCCTCCCGGGAATACACAAACACTGCGAAACTAATATGTGTTATTCCCATCCACTCTAACCTACCCACTCACCCCTTTTCTGTAACCCCTTATCCTACTCAGGGTTGCGGGGATCTGCTCTAACCTTCAGCTCAAAAAACAGGTTTCTGGAGCTTTCAGCTTGACTTACTGGAGCCCATGTTGTGGTGTGGAGGAATGAGTCAGCTGGGGGGAGAGGTGTTTGGGCTAGGCCTGCAAAAAGTGATTTTGATAAATCAATTAACTGTGTCATCAGGCAATCAACAAATCAGCTAAATTTGGGTCACCAAGATGGCAAAATACCACGGTATACAGTATTACAATTCAAACCTAGTAATACCTTCAAAAGTTCACCCATTTCACTACACTGCTTGTATCTGCGTTTGTTGCAATTCATCTTCCCTCCGCTACTCTACTGAACACATGCACCGACCGCAACCATCTGTGTCCACGGACAAAGGTAGTATGTGCACTTGAGGATACACTGTCAACTGTATGTGGACGGTAATTGCATGCAGAAAAGTATGAACTGGACTTATTACACAAATATTAAGGCCCATAGGTGATTGTGGCAGACAATTTACACGACAAACTGAAAAATGAAAAATTCTTTGTCAGCTGTTTTTATTGCCAATTATTATCGATGTTATCAAATAGTTGTTGCAGTCCTGGCTTGGGAAAGAACTTCCAAGCACAGGGACAGTTCCAGGGAATGGAATCATATTTCTGCCAGGCCCTTAACTGAAACTGCTGTTATTCTATTGTACTCTGAACCCAATTCATCTCACCACACTGACATTCAAATGACTCTGTTCCCCAGAGTGGTCTTTGGAACTACTGAAAGCAGGACTGCTCCTGGAGGGCCTGGAGTTCAGGTCAGGGCAGGGCAGGGAAGTACTGACTGATGAATTGACAAAACCAAGGAACCAAAAAAGGCTTGTGGATTCCTATGAATGCCTGATCTTAAAGGCCCAGTGTCAATACAAGAAACGGTCTGGGAAGAACTAAAGCAAGAGTCCCAAAACCACGGCTACAGGGTCAGGTACAGAACCTTACCCTGTGCGGGCAATCGGCACCAGGAAAACTAAGCAACAACAAAATACTTCCTAGTAGCATACCACAGAATCCAATCCACAGAGTGTGAATTGCCAAACACCCTTGTCAAGCACCACTAACCCAAGCAATGTACAATGTAATCGGAGGAACACCACAAAAGAAAAGGTTTAATTCAGAAGCAAGAGAGGCGGAGACAGTGAAGCGTCACGTACTATGGCCAATCGGAGACCCTGGGAGAAGACAGCTTTACAAAGCTGAAACAGAAGTTCCTCTTGACAGTAATTATGGATGACAAAGGATGATCAAAGGACAGGAGAGGCAAAGAGGGGGATGATTCTACTGTCACTTCACCAGCGAAGATGCTTTGCTTGTAACCATTTGACAAAAAACACACCGAGGCAATTCCTGATTTAAAAAACATACAGAATTTAACAATAATCAATACAAATGTGAGGGTACAGTAAAATTAAATATTAAACGCCAAAAAAAAAAAAAAGCAATCCTGTCTTGGTTGTAAAGTTTGGGGATGTGCTCTTAGATCATCGAACGGGTGACAGTTGGTTGAGGTGGCAATTTGCCCTGGGATTAACTGATCGTCAAGGTCCAACACCCAAAAGGTTTTGGTCCGTGTGAATGGCTTTTGGGTGTAGCTCTGAGAATGACACTGCGACCAGACAAAAGCAACGGGCTGGCTCAGTGTTTGCCCCAATGCTACTGCACCAGGTTAGCTCGATTCTCCACTGTGCTGCTTGGGGTTTTGCCTTCAGCGGAGTATTCTAGTGATACCCAACACTCTCCTAGTCTTCCTGATCCATCCTCCAGATGTTCTCTTTCCATCATAAGGATCTGCTGGCCAAGGAGCCGTGTCCCTTTCCTAATGCTTCCCAAGCAGCTCAGCTCTCTGCCAGGTCCTGCTGCCCCCCAAAATCTCCAAGTCATGGTGCTCCTGTATTTTCCCAAACTAACTTGGTTCCTATAGACCGATATGACTTCCATTACAGTCAACCTCCAGTTTCCATTTTTACCCATTAACAATCCAGTGGATGATCACAAATCGGATCTGCAGACCCATGTAAGCATATCTCATCAGTTTCTTACACACTGTCCATCTCATAGTATTTCCAACCACAAAGTTCCTTAATTAGACACACATCTCAGGTGACAGAATGCGCCGGTCTTCCGTTCAGAATACATGCTTGCTGACATCCCTTCAGAAACCCTCATTACCATTTTGGACATAAGCATGCTTGCTGACACACAAACAGGTCGCTTAATGGATGTTTATCAAACCTGCTTTCCTGCTAAGGCTTTTGAGACAATGATTCTGTTCAGGGGGTGGCTATGCTTAATGCAAAAATATTAATAAAATAGTGAGCAGGGGCCAAGTCCCAGGACAGGAATACTACTGTCACCTCCAGCTGGGTGCATCGTAGCACAGCAGGGGCTCCTGTGTGTGCTGAGCTCCATTACCAAGATACAAGAGCTAGCTGCTACAGTCAGACCTAATAAGTTATGATTACTTTAATGACTTGATTTAGCCATTATGACGCGGTGAAGAGGAATGCAGATTACAAAATGCCCAGCAGACTGCAAGAGGGAGCATGGGGCTCTGCAGAACCAGCAGCAAGGAAACCGCGCAAGTTAAGCCGTCAGACCTTGCTCACGTCAGCTCACAGGCAAATCACAGGACAAATCTGAGGGACTGCGGGAAGCTAAAGGTTTAGGGAAGAGCGAGACCACAAAAGAGAGCAGCGGTGGGGTGCAGATGTCATTTACAGTCAGTGATCAGCTTCCTATGCAAGATGAGCAGAGTCCCATGACCAGAAATAAGGACCCAAGGAGGAGGGGAGGGGCACACACTCCTTTCAAAAGCAAAAAATGGGTGGCCCCATTTGCCTTGCGGTAGATTTAATAAGAGAATTTCACACAGCCAAATGGAGAGAAGATGCCCATCATTAAACACACTGTATCCAGGCGATAGTGATGCATCCCTGCTTAATCCAATTAATTTTAGCATGACATTGGCAGCCTGTCTCCCATCCACAGAGCGAAGGGGCAGAGAGGTCCTGGCGGGCAGCCTGGTCACCACAAACACACTTTGGGGGATGTGCCTCTGCTCCCAGGCACAGTGAGACAGAAGAGCGCCTGCTAGTGGCGATGCAACACCCAGCGAACCAACAACGGAGCCCAATAAAGTCAAACAGGAAATCAGAGGATCGAACCACAGAAGTCAGAAGTGCAAACTCCCTGGTGACAGCTGCTGTACATGCTCCTCAATATCACGCCTGCACTGCAGGCCCCTGAGCCGACGTGGTTTTCCTGACCAGACCGCTTTACTGGTGCTGGAGCATAGCTTAACACCCCTTAAACAATGACAGAGCACCAGCGGAGGCCAGCAAGGTGCTGATTATGCCATTTTGTGGAGGGCGGGCACCCCAGTGAAGGCTATGCGCTGGGTGACTAAGACCAAACAAAGCAGCTTTAATCAGAAATAATAGGTCAGTCAGGTATCAATCAACCCTAATTTGCTTGACGCAAAAACTAGGAGGAAAGATTCTCTCCGGGGTATAGCCTTGGCAATCAGAGAAAGTTTGATGTACAAGATCGGAAACTTGAAGTTTAATTTTAATCACTGACGCTGTCCAAATCAGCCGTGCAATCAGCAGGGTGAGGAGTGTGACCTCACCCCAGGCAGACCTGATCTGAGCTCGTGTCTCCTATCAGCCCACAAGGCGGCACGGCCTTGCTCTGCGTAACCTCATTAGAATGGTCACATACAGAGGCACAAGCCTGCTTTTGTCACTGCAGAAGGCTGGGCTCCTGCTTCAGTGCACAGCAGAGCGACAGGGAACTGCTTGGGGGTGGGCACTGAAATAAAGCTGATTATGGACAACCTGAAGCAATCTGGCCAGGGTTCAGCAGGTCAGCTGTGTTCTTCCGTGCCTCCTCACGGAGAAAGCGGCAGACACAGCTGTCAAGCCAGTCTGTTCACCACAGGGAACTCCACAAGGCCACCTCCGGCAACCATCCGCAAAAGCCAGCAGAGTGGCTGGAACCTTCCGTCTGATGTCTATAGTTACTCAAGGCCAGACACACACACATACAACCAAAAATATCTTCTGCACAATATATGCGAGAAAAATGAAAAACGACAGAACCGCCTTCCCTGGGGATGCACAATTTTGCAGTTAACATTCACAAATGTGGGTGCATTTGTGGCTGGGTGCCGCCTGCACGACCCGGCCTGCTCTGCGCGGCACTCACCGCCTGCACGACCCGGCCTGCTCTGCGCGGCACTCACCGCCTGCACGACCCGGCCTGCACGACCCGGCCTGCTCTGCGCGGCACTCACCGCAGGCACCAGCAGCTTCTTCACTTCCTCCACTGCCCGCCTCATCTTGATTTCAGCCCGTGCCTGCGTGTCCTCCACAGTGATCAGCACATGCAGGTCTTCGTTTAGGTGCTCCCAGTTGGGTTTACCCCGATTCTGTTCCTCCTGCAACAGATGAGGGGAAGCACAGAAAGCTTATGCAAGGTCAGCAGAGAATAAATGCAGGAGCAAAACACAGTAAAAAATAAGTAGGAACAGTTTCAATGAATGACTGAGGTGTGATTAAGATACGCTCTGTATTATGGATGTATCTTAAAGATCCTTTTCAAATCACCTCCTTGCCCCCCCCAGAACCAAGAGGGAAGCAGTAAGTTTATGGAAAATGAAACAATGCTTTGCCATTTTCGGTTTTCTGATCACAGACACAGAGGTTTAACCCGCTGATAAAGAAAGCAGTGGGCCTGATCAATTCAACAGGTGACTGTGCCAGGCTGGTGCTCACTTCTGGCTGGTACCTCCCACGTGCCACATTCCCGTGCCTTGTATGGAGGCAGGCAGCATCCTGCCGTGCCCTCTGTGGCCAGGCATTAGAGCAGGGGGGCCCAATACGTCGATCGCAACCGTCCAGTAGATTGCAAAGGTAGCGCGACATAAATAAATAAAAGTTTTAGATATTAGCCTATCATCTGTCAACCCCTTTGGCATTTGCCACTTGATTGACGGGACGGGTGGCCAGTCCGCTTTTGCTTAAAACTTTGTTATATTAGGTTACCGAAACAAAACGCTTATGTATTGCGAGCTGATGCAAAACTCCAGCAAGCAATGAGAGTGTCCCAGCCAGCCTTCCAATTTATATATACTGAAAAAGGGATATAAAAATGAGCGGGGGAGCCGGACAAAGTAATAAACGGTAAATGTATTGAATTGTATTGTGCTGTGAGGGTTCATGCAGTGACGCAAGGTTTGCCAACATGTACGGTATACATGAAGTATAATCAGTGTGCGTGTCTTTTTACGTGTATATATTGTGTGTACACACACACACACACACACACACACACACACACACAAACACTATATATATAGCACATACACAAGCATGCATTTTTTATGTAGATAGATCTCAATGTAGAAGTAGCTCCGAAGCCAAAAAATTGTGGGCACCCCAGCATTAGAGGGACTGAAGTGGATATTTTGAAAGACTAACTGCAGAGATATAAATATCGAAACGAAGCAACAAAAGCATGATTGTTATGGAACTCAACCTGTTGGGCAATGCATCCAGTAACTCAGCATTCCGGGAAGAGCCTGCCACAGTTCAGGAAGTAGGAACATTCACTTCCTGTTGATTGATACCGCGTTGTGCATCTTCAGCTGTTTTCCATTTTGTTTCTTCCTTCCACAGGCCAAAGTGTGAACATTTGTGAGGCAGGTGCAGTAACTGAGGTATCTAATTGTTAGCAGGGCACAGTATGGCTCAGTGGGAGGCTGGTCTGACATGGCACTAACCCACACGCCGTGCTGCTCGATGGGGTGGGGGGGGGGGGGGGGGGGGGGGTTAACCCACATCTAGGGTGAGTATGCAGCCTGAGGCAGTCAGCCCCGAGGAGTACGGCAAGCTGTTCTGCGTGATTACACACGGGCTATTGGGGACCAGGCTATACCAAGAAGCACCACCCCCTCCCCCCCCAAAGGGCCAGGAAAAATGGCAGAGGAATGAGATCTTTGCAAGCAAGATCTATGAAAGGAGCACATGATCGAAGGTTTCTGTTTATGGAGAGATGACAAAAGGGGGTAATGCCATGCTGTAGTCCAGTTTGGACAGCCAATCAAGACAAGTCATGTGACCATCCGCTGGGATAGGGCCAAACCAGCATAACCAAGCTGTGGGAATTTAAAAAGGCGACATAAAAACATTCTTGCATTGATGAAATGATTTTTAACCCTCACTATTCTGCCCAGCTGCTCTGTGAGCTGATATGTGCTGCAAGATGGGGGCAGCTAAAAATAAACCAATGAAATGCTTGCAGAAACCATATGGAGCAGCTGCCTTGTGTCCTGCGCAGTTCCTGGCCCAACATGGATGACTGGCAGCAAAGCATAGTGCAGGTAAGATGCTGCCAGTTACTTCTTGATTTATTTTGCAGTGCCTTAGAAGAGTGCTGTTGGTGACACTAGAATTTCTCTAAGACAAAATTAGAAGCATCTAAGGAAGTAGATAACACACAGAAAACTGAGATGTTCTTTGGAGAACACATCCGATTGCTGGGAACCGACAGGCAGCACGCGCGCCTGACTCAACTTAGCAGCGTCTTAACTGTCCTCACAGCATTTGAATTCCGATCCCCAGATAGATCCAGCCCAGTCTGAGGGGCGGGGCCTGCTGGGGAAGCCCCTAAGGAGGGGACATTCCAGCAACGGCAGCATCAGAGCAGAGGCGACAGAGGGCGAAGGGGAGACCAGCGAAGAATGCGGCGATGGACCCCCAAGCCCCTTCAAACTCCGGGCCCAGAGATAAGTGCTTCACAAGCACTCCGTCTCCATGCCTGGGATTGGACCTTGGCCTCCTTTCATTCAATCCCGCCTCCCCCAATTTAAAGCAGGTTTGATCAGAGGGCAGAGTATTGCAGCGTGACTGGTTATTTTCCTGCACGACTCCCACGTCCAGTTCGATTACGCCAAGCCAACCTTGGGGGCAGAATGAGGGCAGCAGCTCCCCAGGGTCTGGGGCCTTTTCAGGAAGCGGGCCTGGCTGGGGAAGGGCCCCGGTGGCCCGGCTGGGGAGGGGCCCCGGTGGCCCGGCTGGGGAGGGGCCCTGGTGGCCCGGCTGCAGTACAGTGCCCACCGATAAGGCCCCATAAAGGAGAGCAGTCAAAGTGACTGTCCACACGTGACGCTGTGTGGGGGTGGCATTCTCCATCATGAAAGCTCAGGAAATGCTACCATTGGCTGTTAACCTGCCATCAAAGCAATCTCCGCCCCCCTCTTGCATGACGTCATCTATTTACCTTCTTCCTGTCCCTCATGGAACTCTTTCCTCTGACCATGATCTTGCATCCAGTTTCTGCTTCCAGCTGCTTGGCGGTCAGGCCGCGGGGACCCAGGATCCTCCCGACGAAGTTGTACTGGGGGAGAGAGGAGTGCAAGAAATTAGACAATGACACACTCCTCCAATGATGATCAGTTAGAAGCTGAACTGCCTATAGACTCTTTCCCGCAGAGGGATAATTGACTGCAGCATTTCAGGTGAAGCACCTTGCTCGCAGCCTCAGTACACTTCAAAACCGCAGCCCTAACCATCATGCCGCCTGCTGGGAGGCCAATCGTCACTGACCACTGGGAGCATCCCAGCTCCGCCAGCAGCGCCTTTGTTTCCGTTTACCCTTGAGCTCCAGCACCAGGATGCTGCTAATCTTATTATCTGGCCACTCTCAAGCAAAAAGCTAAGCACCACATGCATGTGCTCGCATACTCAGACAGCGTCTGCTGCCCCAGTCAACTAGCAGAGACCCAACAGCAGAAGAGGGAATCACACAAACACACCAACACTAAATCAGTGCCACGCTTCCAGGCCATGCTCTCTGCGCTTTACAGCAAAGACTTCGGTATTCCTGCCACGCCGGCACAGGAAAACGAATTCTTTCCGTACAAAAATAAAACTACAGGGAATTAGAGGCGGCAGAAGGTGCGGCTCTGCCAAAGAGCACGTCCTTATCAAGCCCCTTTCACTGGTGAGCGGCCCAGCGGCTCGGTACCAGGGAAAAGTATTTACTAGCGTAATCCTCTCCACTTCAAGCTGGCTTCCAAGGGGATCAGGAAGAAAATGTGTGTTGAAATAATCCAAAACATTTTTTTTGTAAAAATGAAACAGAAAAGGGGGAAGGGGGCACAAAATAAACATGGGGTGAAGTTTACGAGAGCGCTGGGCATCAAGCGGGCCGGGGGGATGGATGCTGGATTCCAGGCAGACATGTTTGTGCAGGCCTCCCTTATCAGGGTCTGGCTAATCCTGCATATAGACAACAGTGCTTTGTTATCTTACAGCCAATAAAAGCAGCACCAAAAATATCAGGTGCCAATGACCTAAAACAGGAAAACATGCACACCAGCTAACATGGAAAGTCACTGGAGGAACTGTGTTTAATTCACTCAGTCTAAATACAGCCAGTATCATGAACCTATCATGTAATTTACCAACTAATGTTTTTGTGCCAACTAGTAATGGGCAATATGGTGACATTTTATTGCTCCTGGTCTAATTGTACCCACAGCACACATTTCAGAGGTATTGTAAGAATCATGATACCGCATTTACATTTACTTTTATTTAGTACACTTTTGTCCATAAAGACATACAAGTGAGGCAAATAGCACATTACAGACATATGTGCTATTGAGGAGCTGACTAGGCACAAGTACAGCTAAGCTAGGTTTCCAGCCAGAAGCACATTACTTAACACTATTATTAAAATGACAGGACAAACCTGCGCGCTCAGAGGCTGCAACAGCACAACAAACACAGATCAATGTGAAACAAAGCGACTGAGGTCTGCTTGACATCCCAGCACCGTCTGTATCTCTCACTTTTTTGAATTATGTCTCAGTTGATCTCAATTTACTAGTTAGATCTTGAATTAAAAACTAATCTTTAACCATTTAGCCAAATTCATGAAAAAACAAAACTACCGTTCGGCTGCTAAAAATATTGTACTTGTGTCACACGGTACACAGCATGAGGTCTATAGACTGGTCGGCTATGCTGTCAAATGTAGTGGGCGGCAAGGCTGATGAAAAATCGATTCCAAAAAATGGTTTGAAGTTGCGAAATCTTAAGTGGACCAATCTACTGTATTTCGCAAACTGTGCAAAGGTGCTGTTTGCATAACAGATGGCAACACAGCCAATTCTTTTAACCACCTGAAATGTTAGCAGCCCAAATATCTGGCTATGCATGTGTGTGAGCACATCATCCTCAGCTGCACCGTCTTCCACATCTTAAGCAACCAAATGCAAGCAAACATTTTTTTTTTACTGATGCAAAACTCAAAATCTTACATTGTATTCATTTGTCCATTATGTTTTTGTATTTGTTGCAGAGAGCTCAGAAGCCTGCAGTTTAACCAAAGTGATAAATGTTGTACATTAAACTTTATTATTATTATTAAGTTGAGTCAGTTTATTTCTATATGTACAGTATTCTGCATATCTTAAGTTTATTTTATTGTTACAAGACATGCTTCTTAAGGATGGACTTGCTACTTAAGTGATTAAATGATTACCACCACTACATAAATTGATGAGACCTGGGCCATAACCCCCCCCCCTTCCCAACTCATTCTCCATCCACAGTAGTGCCCCCCAGCCCTCCCCTTCCCTCCTCCCAATCATGCAGTGTGATAGGTGAGACAAAATCCTCACAGGAAATGTGTCTGTTTTGGAGATTCTGAACAGTGCAAGACGAAGATGCTAAATTCAGTCTGCAAGACAAGTGAACAAAAACATGTCTGTGGAGGAACCACCCCTAAATTTGGAACCACCAATTTAAAAATTACACTTGCGGAACTATATTTCACATTTGAAAGGGTTATTTATAATATTTTGCTTGCAGAAAAGTTAAGTCTACTAAAGTAGTGTTAAAAATGTTCAGTTTTCTAATCATTAAACTAAGAAAATCGTAAATCTGCCAAGATCGGTATTGGCAGGTCAAGCTAAGGCTAAGGAAACTGCTAATTGGCGCATCCTTTGTAACTGTGTCTTTCCTCTGGGTAGCCACCTGCACAACTAGAACAAAGGCCAGGCCGGAACCCGTCTCTCTGGGCCTAGCTAGCCTCTTCCTGAATGATGCATATTAGACTCCCCGGATCCCGCGCTGCCAAAGCCAGAAGCAGGGCTGTCCCATCACAGGAGCTCCACCAGCAGAAGCAAGCAGGCCACCCGGGTCAGTCTGCCCGGTCATGGACACATTTTGGGTAGTCAGAGGGGGACAGCAGTAATCAGAGAGTGCCATCACAGTGTAATGAGCAGCGCTCTGGTCTGGGGAAACTTATTCCAATAGAAATCCCATCTGCACATAAGCAGCCCCTGCACACTCGCAGGCAGATAAGGAAAGCCAAGCCACCATCACCACGAACGTGTTGATGCTGATTGGACATGGCAGAGACCAGGAGCTGCCGGACAGTGGGGAAATTGCTCACTTTGAATTCTGATATAAGACAGTAATTACAGACAGCAGGACAAGTGGAAGAGGTGGCCTGCAAAGCACGGCCTAGAGCAACAAAGAAGAGAGGTGGGTGTGGGGGGTCACGAAAGTGTGACAACCAGCAATGCTCTGGCCGTTTCCATGCCAATACCATGGAGCTAAAGCCCAGCTCCACAACCTGGTCAGCAAAGGTCAGCTGCTGGAGTGCATAAAGCAAAGGTCTGTGCTACATGGTAAAGAGAATAACCCCCCTCTGCTGAAAAGGGTTAGGGAACATTATCCCACCTACAGTGCAGAAGTGAAAGTGAAGGGGGGGGAGAGAGACGACATTTGCTTACAGTCTGTGGGAAGCCCTCATCCAAAACCACAATCCTCTGAGATGTGCAAAGTCAGGAAATTTATGCCTAAAAATCTTTTGATAACAGAAGGTAAAGTACCCATCTTAAAAGGTACAACACTAGCAACCTATGATTTGGTCATGGAGACATTGTGACTGCTACCCACATACTGCTTTGCCTGGGAAAGTCTGCAAAACAGCAACAAACGTCAAGAAAATCAAAGCCTGTACACTATGACCTGTCTGCACTGCAATAAGGCCAGATTTTTAGAAAACAAAATGATGAATTACAATGACAAGAACAGTGTGAACACAAATGCAAGATATCTGCCAAAAAGCTCAGACTGAGGGAAGGATCACAAGGATCAAAGGGGATAAAGCAGCAGTAAAGGCCCATGGTCAAAAGAGGAACCCAAACCATGAGCACTCATTCACACGCAGAATTCAGCTACGGAATACTTGTCGATTCAGTTCTTCACCATTAGCAAACAAAATGAATATAAAAATGTTTCCCTTTACTCACACCTCCAGATGTGCCCAGAGAGTCCTTCAGTGCTGGGTTCCCTTATTTAAAAGTCTTAGAGATTAGAGACCAACTCCTTCCCTGTTTTATCTCCATTTCCGGCCAACCACTGCAAATAAGCAAACCCCCTGCCACAGCACTCTAGTGCAGAGGGGAGCTTACTCTGACATTAAAGGCCCTCAGTTTAGCCTTGTTATCGGCTCTGAACAGACACCCAGGGCAGCGGGGGATTGGAGGGGGGGGGGGGGGGGGCACTGCTGGAATGTCCTGCACTGCCCAGCCCAGCCCATTTCTTAACCGGGTGAATGACAAGGAGGATGGGCGACACCACACACACAATTCCAGCATTTCATGGAAAGAAAGACTGGCTAACTACTAATAGTTAAGCTGCTGGCTAGTCATGCTGGCAGTGGATAAGGCTACTTCCTGAGCAGACTGGCTAAGCCCACAGTGCTCCCTACAGTGGACAACATACGGACAGCCAAGCACTCAGGAGGGGAGCCCACCTACATACACACAAAAGCCAAGAGGAAGCAGAACAGTCAGAGAAAAATGACAGAATTCAGCATTCTTCCCATGGATGACAAAAGGAAACAAAGGATGGCAGTGATGCATGTTTGGACAGTGGAGGCACAATTTGACATTTTATTTAATTAATAGATGCTTTTATCCAAAGCAACATACAATTGAGAAGGCAGGATCAGACAGACACTGTCACTGGAGCAGTTGAGGTTTAAGACTCTAGGGCCCAATGGTGAACACACTCGGTTGACCCGGGGATTTGAACCAGTGACCTTCTGAGCACAGGCACAGCATGTCAATCCACTGAGCTACACACAGCAGTGTAGAGTAATGTTTCTCAAACTAGTCTTCAGGGGCCACCAGACGGTCCAAATTTTTGCTGCCTCCCAACTCTCAGGGAACTGGGAGAGATGAAGACCGTGGACTGTCTGGGGGTCCCCTAAGGACTGGTTTGAGAAGCACTGGTGTAGAGGCTTGAGATAAGGATACCACCCTTGGACTACGCTATGGTCTTCAAGCCTATCCCACTGGCTTGGCCTTTTCG